TCATATCAACTTTGCCTGAAGAATCCAAGAACTAGATGGCAATACCATACACGGGAAGCCTCTTGGGATGTGTTAATCAAGGTATTTCCTGTATCTGGAATCCTATTGCATTCTCTTCTTGGCGAGACCCTACAAAACCCAGCTCAAAATCACCTGACCCTGTCACAGGAGCCTCTAAGCGGAGTCAGTCACTTCCCCCTCTGTTTTCCCGTGACATCTCATTCATTAACGAGAAGATATGTCTGTTCCTGCTTTACAGCTCTTCATAGCAGGGCAAGAATTTCAGGTAGACTGACACCGGGGATCTATGTCTGCAGTTCTATTGCTTTTGTGTCAAATCAACTGAATGATGTGGTTGATTGGATCATCCTGTTGCAGGCTGTACCAACGGGAAGAGCAGTGACATTGTTACGGTGTTGACCTCTTGTATGGAGGTTTGCTCACCATGAAATAAGGCCCCGATAGATCATAATCGAATGTCACAGCGTTGTCATATTTTAATTGCAGTTAGCCTTGAAACGTAATGCAGTTGAACGTAGTGCCTTGAATGCATTATAGTGCATTGAGTGTAATGCAGTTGAAATGTAATGAAATCCAAAACAGCTACGTGCTATACTATAGGTTCAATTCTTTTCCAAAATATATGTAAAGCTATAAATATTCATCACTGGCGGGATAAGCCCCACTGGTGAATGGAGTGGGGCTTATCAGCAAAGGGCCAATGGGAGTGATCTGAGGGGCACACAGAACAATCTCCACAAAGGATACATTTTCCCCGTGTGGTGGGATCCCACCAACGTTTTTGAGGCTTTATGAGTACATACTTGCCTTTTTAGTAAAATGCACGCAGTCATTGTCACCTTATTAAACAGAGCCAGAAGCTGAAAGTGTGCGGGCCATTCAGGTACACTGAGACAAAAGGACTTTTCACTTTTTTTTTTTTAAACCCTGAACCAATTTTATAAACTGGCAAAAAGCAGAGAACCCTGCAGTGGAGACCTACGACAGCAGAGCTGCTGAGGTTGAATTGGAAGGCCCACCCCGTCGTGTGCATGCAGAGTATGGGATGGGTGGAGGGTGGCCCTTGTGGCTGCTGGGCAAAATGGCGCCTCGCCGGCACTCCTTTGGGTGGTCGTGGAGACGACTCCGTGCAACCCTATGCCTCCTTCGTATGCAACATGGAAAACCACCAACTCCGGACTCACTTCTTTCTTTTACCTGAGGCAGAGGGAGTCAGGGAGTTGTCTAAGGCAGGCATCCTCAGAAAATGTTCTTGGGGACAGAGAGTGGAAAGAAATCTTATTATGTTATGTATAAAGCATGCAATAATACATTATATAAACATGCAGGGATATCCATGGTATTAGAATTTCACGGGGTGTTTTTTGTTTTGTTTTGTACTTTTTCCCACACGTCCTTGTTGGTTATCTATTTTAAATGTACTAGTGTGTACATGTCAATCCCAAACTCCCAGTCTATCCCTCCCCCGCACCCTTCACCCCACCGGTCACCATAAATTCATTCTGTAAGTCTGTGAATCTGTTTTGTAAATAAGTTCATTTGTATCTTTTTTTTTTTTTTAGATTCTGCATATAACCAATATCATATGATCTTGGTCTTTTTATGTCTGACTTACTTCACTTAGTATGATAATCTCTAGGTCCATCTATGTAGCTGCCAATGGCATGATTTCATTCTTTTTGATGGCTGAGAAATGTTCCATAATATACGTGTACCACATCTTTATCCATTCGTCTGTCAGTGGACGTTTAGGTCGCTTCCACGTCTTGGCTATTGTAAACAGTGCTGCAATGAACATTGGGGTGCGTATATCCTTTTGAATCATGTTTTTCTCTGGATATATGCCCAGGAGTAGGATTGTAAGGCTAGTCAATCAGGGGGTGTTGATGAGGAGAAAAACGTTTCAAAAATCTCTTTGGAGGGCGATAATGGAAACAAGTTTCTTCACTGGATACAGTAGCGGACGGGGTAATGCTTGATGACGCAGAGGGTAAGATGCAGTGAGACTGCCAGCTGCTTGGAGAAGTTGGTTCGATGGAGATACAGAGAGAAGCGGTGTGCCTCTGGTCTCCTAGGATGAAAATGGAGCTCGTGGGTTGTACAGTTCTGAACTGACGCAGAGGAAGACACTTTGTCTTTCTCTAATGCTGCCGTCACATGTTACATCTTAAGGACCTTATCCTAACCATTAAAGAGAACTTGACCATACCCTGTTGCTTTCCAGACATTTCTAATTATGGAAACCAGTCTCATTTTTTTTGTGATAAAGTCTTGTTTTTCTGGTATTGAAAGGTCCCGCCCGCTTTCAAGTTTGGGTCCAATACGAAGCGTCTCTTCTTCCCCCAGCCTGTGGCCGAGGGACCCACAGAGGGAAGGGTATAGGGTTTGACTCTTCCCTCTGCCTCCTTCTTTAAGAACCTTCGTTTTGTTACCTGGAAGCCTTTGAGCCATGGGGCTGATAAATTCTACATTAGAATGTAGAATTCTACAAAACAGAAGTATCCAACTATACCCCAGCTAAGTAAACTTCTTTTAAAAATTGTTCAGTCTAACACACAGGGTAAGTTTTTTTTTGAATGAAAATAGAAGTGCTCTCTTTGTCATGCAAAAATAAGCTAGGGTTCCATCCTAAAGTAGCCCAGCCTGCCTCTACAGGGCCTACAGAAGGTGGAGAGGTTTGGCATCTCTCATCTCGGAACTCTGGTCTACACACTTTCTTTTCTAGCCAGCCGGTCCCTAGGTCCTTCAGAATCCGGCTCCTCTCAGGTCTCTTTTGGGCCATCTGCCCCTGGCAGTACCCAGCTTATTAACCCTCCCGTACTTGAAACAAAACTTTCCTTGGTAGGAACCCGCCCTCTCAGAGCCACCATTTATCTGTGATTTGCAAAACGGCACAGAGGGTGTTTATATTTACTCATGGCTTCTTCCAAAAGCCACTGTGTTCCCAGGTTGGCAGAACTATCTCTGAGAGACCCTAAATGGAAGCCTTCAATCCCAGTGAGAGGATGCCTGAGCAAGCAGTTTTAGGCATACTGTCAGGGAGGTAGTTGGAGAGAGCTTTCCTTGGGAATCCTCAAATCCCATCCCAGACTGGAACTCTGAGTCTTTCTTTGTGTCGTCGGGTCCCAGATGCACCATTTGGGTCCTTTTTTTCCTCTGTACCCCTGAGGTATTTTGTTTTGTTTCTTAATCTGACTCTAATTATTGCCTTTGTTGATGACGCAGCAGGGTGCGATTTCCTCCTGTGCAGATGGTTACTTGTTTATTTTGAAGACAGCAGCTTATTTATTTATTTATTTTTGGTAGCCTGAAAGACTCCCGAAAAAATAACGGCCCGTGGCTCATAGCTCCCTGCTGTAGAATCAAAGAGGGATGAGTTCAAGACCGTAGCTAAATAAAGCAGGGCTTCCATCGCAGATAACGCTTCTCTGAAATGAACCCGTTCTCTTAGAGCAGTTTGATGTGGTTCCCTGAGATAAGAGATCTTCTTCTCTTCTGTGAATACAGCCAGTTATCCACGAAACAAAACACTCTCTGGTTCTGATTTACCATGTAGAGAACTGGCATGGCTGCTGCAGAATCCTCATACGCCGCGTGAGTAATTAACGATCACCCGTTGCGTAATCCATCCCGCTGTCAAGGCGGAGAAATCACTCTCATTTCTGTTTCTTGATCTCTTGGTTGCAACATAATTGACACCCTCTGAAATGTTCCATAAGCTTATTCCAGTGGAAACCTACCTGGCGAATCACCCCTTGAATTAGCAGGATGGTTTTCAGAGACTAGAAGAGGAGACCTGTCCCCGTGGAGACCCGTATCCACCAAGGGAGCCTATAAATCTCATTGGAGAGGGTCTGGGGGAATGAGGTGACGCGTGTGTGCTCCGACTTCTTCTCGGTTATTTATGTCATAGCAGACTCTCTGTGTTTTGTATTTCTGCAAGTAAGGGAATCCTGCCAAAAACTCTAATTTTGAGGAGATATAAATGAATTGTTACAGATGGAAAAAAGAAAACAGACATTTTCTTTAGGGAAAAAGACATTTTACTTCCAAATAAAAAGTGAGTCTCCTTTTTCTTATGAAAAAGAAAAAAATATATATATCAATGTAGACACAACAGCCAACCTGCTGTCACCCACGTCACCCTTGGAGGACCCGTCCCAGGACTGTGCGTGTGGTCGCCACACAGCATGGAGTTCTCTGTGATTACAACAGAAGGGAGGGTCTGGCGAACCCTGACTGTTCTCCTTGGAGTCCTCATAAATCACTTCCGGTTTCTCTGAGATCATGGCATGGGAGAGGCCATACTCAGGCAGACCCGATGGAATGCATGTTTTGCGAAATTGAATCACTGCAGCTGGAACCTGTTCTTAAATGTACACGTTGAATTACAGTTGTTGAATTGTTCTAATTAGCAACCTGCCAAGCTTCATTGTCGATGGGATAAACGGGTTATCTAGGTTTCCCTGAAGTTTTTATTTTTTATTTTATTATTATTATTATTTTTATTTTTGCGGTACGCGGCCCTCTCACTGTTGTGGCCTTTCCCGTTGCGGAGCACAGGCTCCAGACGCGCAGGCTCAGCGGCCATGGCTCACGGGCCCAGCCGCTCCGCGTCATGTGGGATATTCCCGGACCGGGGCACGAACCCGTGTCCCCTGCATCGGCAGGCGGACTCTCAACCACTGCGCCACCAGAGAAGCCCTGAAATTTTTATTTTTTTAAGGAGAGGTGTGTGTGTGTTTACTGTTATTCGATTTTTTAATCCCTTCAATGTTTATGGCAAAGGGCGTTGCCTCCCTATTGCAAATGGTCCCCATCAGCAGGCTGTCTGCTAATTAGAGGTCCTCTTCCAAGGGGCTATTCAAAGAGGTAAATTTCCATTTGAAGGAAAAAGTTCTTCCAGGGATCTTGGTCAGAGGCCTAAAAGCAATAGATGTAAACTGCTGCTAAGTCTCTGTCTTTTTCCTGTTTTGCAGGTATTCTCGCACCAGCAGGGTTCTCCTCCTGCCCCACTGTCTGGAAGATTTCACATTCCGGGCACCTCATCTTCCTCACCCAACAACGGTGTTTTGTGTCTTGATCCCAGTTGAAGAGCCTGGCACACGAACAGCCTAGCCTATTCATTCCTGGAGCAATTTTGCATATGCAAGACGGAAGCCAAGACTGATGTCTTCATCCCAGACGTGCTCGTTCACACACATTCCGGTACGTTCAAGCGCTGAGATCGGTACGGTGAGCAGTAGGGTTTGAACACATGTTTCCGATCAGTAAGTCTGCTCTTGCCCACAGAGCTACCTCTTTGTGGCAGTTCCGTCATCCAAATGGCTATTTAATCAAATGATGTTTATTTCGTCCAACTGGAGTTCTTCCAGTGGGCCAGTGATGGCATCACCCACCCACCCACCCAGGTGGTGCTGTTGGCTGTCTGCTGGGGCAGGACCACTGCCAAGCCTGACACAGTCCCTCACACTGACTCCCAGACTCCCCAGCCAGCGACCCTGGACTGGCACCCCGTAGCAAAGGAAACCCTAGAGCTCTGACGTGTCACCGGCTGGAGGTTTTGAGTAGACGTTATGCCCTCCGTGCCGGCCAGGCTTCACAGAGTTCTTGGACACTTTGGTTAAAGGTGCTAGAGAAATGCCCCTTTCGTTTGCCACCAAGATCGAGGTTTTGCAAATGAATATTATTGAAGGTGTATCGTTGGGACCAGAAACAGCGTGGAGTAGAAGCTGTGGGGGCCGAGGGTGAGTGAGTTGGGGAAAAACAGTTGTATTCGGTCCAGGAAGCAGGAGGTGGCTTTGTGAAGCGGGCAGGAGGTGTGCCAAAGACAGGGCCGTCTCCTGGGTATCGATGCTCAGACACAGGAGTACAAGAGAAGCCCTGGAGGGCAGAGGTGGGTGAAAACAACAGATGCTGTTGCATGATCTCACGCAGGGCTGCTTTTAGAAGAACTGGTAGCTCACCCCGGCCTCTATTGCTCAGAGTGGCAAAAAAATAAAAATCACATCTAAAGCCTCACCCACATTTGGCATTTTTTTCCCTTTCCAACCTATTTATAGTTTTTTAGTTATCTTTACTTTGCCATTTTCCTTTGTTCCAAGAACAATGTCACCTTTATTCCATTTAAATTGTCCCTTAGAATTGAATACCAAAGATAAAACTCATAGGACTGTGATAATATTCTTAGGATCCCATTCACCTAAAGGTATAAATAGTAGGTCATCCACATTGATTTTCCATTATATCTTTACCTGTATTGGGGATCCAATTTTCAATAAATTTTCTTCTCCCCAAATTATCAGAAAATGTAATGTTTAATAAATTACCTGCCATCCTGATGGAAGGTAATTTGTTAAATTAAATCTAGTTGGGAAATTCTCAGCTGAACTTTGGCGAATATTGTATAGAAAATATGTAGTTGACCCACGCAGAAGCGCACTGACTCATGATGTCTTTTGCTATGTTTACTTTCCTCTGAACTAATATTGTGAGAGGTGCGGAAACACGGTGATTTGCTTTTTGTTGAATTGTCTACATGAGGGATGGGAAAGTAACAGCCATTTGGTAAGCACCTCTAATGCTCTGGGCTAGATGTAGTTCTAACCTGCTTGAGTCCTGTCCACAATACCAAAAATACAAGATGCAATGACTAGCTGGAGTCTGAATCTTTCACTGGTTCCACAATCCCCGTGCTCTACCTGCTCTGCAGGGCTCAGTATAGTTTCCTGTAAAGGGTCAGATGGTAAATACATCAGGCTTTATGAACTGTATGGTCCTTGTTTCAACTACTCAGCTCTGCTGGGGTAGCGAGTAAGCACCCAGAGATACGTGACATGTAAGCAGCTAGGTGTGCCTGTGTTCCAGTAAAGCTTTACTTACAAAACTAGGTGGGGGCCTGTGTGTGTCCTAAGAGCCATCGTGAGCCATCCCCTACATGATACTATGATTTTTCTCCAACGGCATACACTTTTTTTCCCCTCTGATCTGTCCACATTTTCCATCTTCGCATCACGATGCTCTGTGGAGAGCGGCTCTTCCCCCCCGCATTGCCGTTCCTTGTAAATCCCCAAATATGAAACCACTTGCATACGTTTGTGCCACCGCCATCCTTCATGGCAAGGTTCGTCTTATGTCAGAAATGTATTATCGTGTTCCAGATGGTCTCTTAAACGACTTCATTGTGGTTCTATTTGGCATGACCCTGGGAGAGATTAGAGAACGGGAGAGCTCATGAAAATGTGTGTTTATTGCAACACAGGGTGAACGAGTCATGCTCAGGGGTCAGAGCAGGAAGTGGCTACTGCTGGATGAAAGATTCTGCTGGAAGAGATGAAAGGTGCTTCGTGCCTCTGGGGGTGGAGAAAGAGAAAAGAGGCCAGTCTTTTCTGCAGCTGTCGCGGTGAAAAGTTCCAGGTATGCAGCTCCTTTTGATGTGACGAAACACTGTTTTGTAAATTTACGTAATTCAGGGAGGCATTCGGATTGGCCCTTTTCCTGCTCCTCTGTTTCGCATTTTGAGACTCAAGCTTTTGCAACAAGGTAAACTGCCTCCAGAATAACATGAAGTGGCTGACAAGGCTCAGTGTGAAATGTTTGTCTGCATATCACCGTTCCATCTCCTCCAGTGGGAGGAGAATGTTCCTGTGGTCCATGATGCTGTAGACACCTGAGATTAAACATGCGGAGACCTAATATTCAAATCAAATTTAGATTTGAAATCAAAAAGTCAAGGGAGAACAAAGTCCAATCACTTGTTTGTGTCCAGAAGTGGAAGGTCTTGATGGATTCCGTAATTTTCCTTCAATTCATCTCTCCCAAGCAAACAACGTTGTTATTTCTTTCAATTTATTCATTTAACATCCACTGTTGAGAACCTAGTGTTCTCTGTGGCACACAAACTCCCGTTCGTTGAATTTAGTTAGACTGCAGTGACCCTAATGGTGACTATTTGGTGAGTGCTTGTCAAATGCTGAGTGGTGCTTTGAAGATGTCCACGAATGATCTCATTAAACTTCCTTGTATAAATATGGGATGGGTGCTCTAATAACTGTTGTACAAACAATGCCAGTCAGTTGCTCCAAGTCACTGATTTGAATCAAAATAGTTGAACCTTGTGAACTCAGAGCTGTAAACTTGATATCGTAGTCAAGAGAATTAGGTGCCTGGGTCATAGACCTTGGTGTATCAGGGAGCAGTGAAGACCAAGGGAAGCAAAGAGCTTCTGTGCTTTTGTTCCACCAGGTTGTCTTTGGATCAGAGAGTTGATTCTGAGGAGACTGAAGTCATTATGGGAAATTGTATCAGTTAGCTGTGGCTGTGTAACAAATTACCACACACTGAACGGCTTCAAACATGGTCCCGGTTTCTATGGGTCAGGAGTCTGGGTGCGACTTGGCTGGGTCCTCTGCTTGGGTCTCACATGGTCAAGGTATCCGGTGGGGTGTGTTGTCCTCTGGAAGCGTGACGAGGGAAGGATCCACTTCTAAGCTCCCTCAGTTTGTGTGTGTGGGGGGGAATCTCATTCCTTGTGGTTGTGGAGTTCATGGCAGAACTAAAAGGGAATACAGAAGCTTCAAGGTAACCTTGTGGTTGTGACTTCAGGAAGAAGCTACCACTCTTTCAGTGAGCAAATGAAGGGGAAAAGTTGGATAGAAGTTAAAAGCGCAGTTTGGGGGTGAAAATATGAACACATAATGGGATGTATATCAATATGATTTACATAAACATGAAACCCACATAAAACGCTACACACTTCATAAAAACAGGTGAGCAAATAACTCCTGTGAAACATATTACATAGTTCCCAACATTGGGGTGAGGAATAGTGATGAAAAGGAACACGTGATAAAGAGCAGAGGATCTTTACCTGGACCAGTGGTGATGATGCCCCGTGATCTGACCAGTGTGGAATATAATTCACCCATCCTTCCCCACCAGAGACTCAAAAGGGGAGAAGGGGCTGTGTTTTAAAGTATTAGTTAACATATTTTCCCAAAAAGGTCATTAAAATAAAAGTAAAGAGACAAAAATCTTCCCCTGTTGATAGACTTAAACAGTTAAAATAGACTTGTTTTGGTGATGCAAATCGTTGTTCTATGGAATATTGCCGACCGTGACCCAAATCACTGTTCTATGGAATATTGCCGACCGTATGTACTCCCCTCCCCAGCCAGACAGCCAAGTGCTTCTCAGGGCTGGATAGTTACTTTGTACATGATTAACTGTGCTCTTTCTTCCATGCTGATGCTATCACGATTCCTTTGCTGTTAGTCTGGGCCGGAAAGGGCACAGAGAAGCAATTTTCCTTATAAAACTGAGAGTTACAAAAAACGAATGTGTGTTGGCAAGTGTTGAGAGGAACTTCTCATCAGAAATTCCGGGCTTGGAAACCAAGTTCTGTGTCCAGGCTTTATCATCCTTACACGTTAACGTCATTGCAACTACATTTGTTGATGCATTTGTTCTGTGTAATGAGGCTCCTCTCCGTCTACTGTATGGGGGAAAACAATTGAAGCAAAAGCGAACTTTGTCAGAATCCCAGTTTGGTGATACGTACATTCTTCAAGCAGACAGTCAGGCTTCTCGTTTTCAGCCAGCCCTGACTTCCTAGGCTTTCTGTTCTGGAACGTTGAGTCGAGCATCTTCATGAGCCTGTGACCTCATCACCAGAAAAGATTTGGTAAAGGGAGTGAAGAATTCTTGGCTGTGTTTTTCTTTCCTAACAGAAGCTCAGAAGCGATGAGTCTATTTGAACTGCTCTAAATCCTTTCTGTGTGGAACTCTCAGGAAATGCTGTAGCCGTGTCTCATCATTAATGATGTTTTGGAAACCCAGCTCCGTCTGAACTCCTGGGTCTTCAAAAATGATCGCTTTACCACAGTGACTCCTGTACTAAGTCTAGATGTAAATGAAACAGGACTTCCCCAGTTTAGTGTCTGGAGACTAACTGGGGACCTGCAGGAGCCCCATTAAATCTTCCAAACAAGTTGTTTATTGAGCTGAGTGTTTTGATCTGAGGTTGAAGGGCAAGTGTGGCTGGAGAGTGCTAGATTTAATCAACAGAAGTAACTTGAGGGTAAAGATACTTTCATTGCCAGTAAGACAGACTCTTCTTTTGGTATTTCAGGTCAGACACGAGTTCAAGGTGAGAGAAAAATGTCAACATCCCTTTATTTATTTTCCTCTGAGAAAATAGAAAATAGAGTGTTCTTGGCACACTCAACAGAAACTAAGATGAAAGATGAAAGGTCCTCTCTCCAGATAATAGAGTCTTTCTTTTTTTTTAATTTTGATGTTTTTGTTCATTATAGATTTTTTTTTTTTTTTTTTGCATCTATTTTTATTTACTTGGCCATGCCACACGGCATGCGGGATCTTAGTTCCCTGACCGGGGATCAAAACCATGCCCCCTGCAGTGGAAGCTCAGAGTCTTAACCACTGGACCACTAGGGAAGTCCCCAGATAATGTCTTTAGTGGGATGATTCCTATGAAAACAAATAAAACCAAAATGGTAAGTACTCAGTGCAGGTATAAAGGTGAAGAGAAAACATATGAGGATATACAGTCACAGAGAAATTCACGTACAGCTGTGTTTTGTGTTTTTTGAATTTTATTGGAGCATACTTGAGTTACAATGTTGTGTGAGCTTCAGGTGTACAGCGAAGTGACTTAGGTATACACATACGTATATTCCTTCTTTTTTAGATTCTTTTCTCATATAGATTAGCGCAGAATATTGGGCAGAGTTCCCTGTGCTACACAGTAGGTCCCCATCGGTCATCTGTCTTATATATAATACTGTGTCCATCCCAGCTCCTGATTTATACCCGCAACCCACGTTTCCCCTTTGGTAATCGTAAGTTTGTTTTCAATATCTGTAAGTCTGCTTCTGTTTTGTAAATAAGTTCATTTGTATCTTTTTTTTAAAATTAGATTCCACACAGAAGTGACGTCATATGGTATTTGTCTTTCTCTGTCTGACTTACTTCACTCAGTATGATCATCTCTAGGTCCGTAAGAGAGAGTTTTAAGCTAAGCCTTAAGTAGAAAGAGTTGGCCCGGGAAGTGCGTCTTAAGATGGCGGGAGACATATCTGCTGTGTCCATGGGAACGGGTCTAGGACCGGAGACTTTGAGTTAACTAAGTATGCCCACGGCACGAAACACATGGGCAGGCGCACAGCGAGCAGGAGAAGGACTTGAGCGGGCCAGTTCATGAAAGATACGCTATACCACGAAAACCCATGTGAACTTCATCCTTACTGACATAGGCAACCTCTGAGGACAAGTTGTCAGCCAGAGACTAGCGCAGCCATATTCGCATACTCGAGTGGCTGTTCTGTTAACAGTACAGTGGATAGACTAGGGAAAGAGATGGAAGGTCTTGGTAGCCTGGGGGAGCAGAAAGGAGATGACCGCAAGTGCTGAGCACGTGTGGTGACAGAGGAATGAAGAGGCTCGTCCAGTGCAGCCTCTGAACATCCCCAGAGAGGCACATGTTCAGAAGGTCTGGTTCACTAGGGTGCGACCGGTAGGATTTGATGTGGTCCTCTTACCCTTGCTTTCTCTTGCCAAGGTTTCAGTTACCTGCCGTCATCCGAGGTCGACAAATGTTAATTGGGAAAGTCCAGAGATAAAGAAGTCATGAGTTTGAAATCGCGCGCCGCTCTGAGTAGTGTGGGGAAATGTCTCACCGTCCCGCTCCTTCCCGGCCGGGAATCATCCCTGTCTTCAGTGAATCCCCGTTAGTGACTTCGTAGGTGCCTCAGTTATCAGGTCGAGTGTCATGGCAGTGCTCGTGTTCATGGAACCCTTATCTTACTTTATAAGGGCCCCAAAGCCCAAGAGTAGTGATGCAGGCGATTCACACACGCCAAAGAACATCCGTGAACTGCCTCCTTTCAGCAAAACGGTGGGTGTTCTCAATAAAGAAAAAAATACGCCGAGCTTGCTGAGATCAACAGCAAGAAGCGATCATCTGTCTGTGAAACTGTGAGGAAGGAAAAAGAAGGTTGTGCTCGTTTTGCTCTTGTCCCTCCGACTACGAAAGTGACGGCCACTGTGCACGGTAAGTGCTTACTTAGGCTGGAAAAGGCATTCAGTGTGTACAGTAAGATGTTCTGAGAGAGCGAGGCCTCACTCACATAACTTTTATTGCAATGTATTGTTGTAATTGTCTATTTTATTATTAGTTATTGTTGTTGATCTCTGTGCCTAATTTATAAATTAAACTTTATCATAAGTGTGTATGTACAGGTGTGTACCTATAGGGTTTGGTACTGTCCATGGTTTCAGGTATCCACTGTGATTATTACAGCGTATCCCTTGTGGACGGGGGCACTACGTCATGAACACGACAGCCACTAGAAATGCTTGCAAGTCCATGGTTTAGGCCAGAGATTGTCCCGAGACTAAGGTATTGTGACCTTTCCTCAGCTTGGCCCAAGCAGGGAACACAGGAAGGAGGGCACCTGTGGGGAAGCGAGTAGACGTGAAGGAATCAGCCAGGAGTAGGATTTAATGAATGTGAGACCTCTGTTGGGGGTTCAGGTAGAGATGCCTTGTTGATAACTTGAAATATGGATCCAGAAATCAGAATAAAGTCATAAATAAATTTAGAAGTCAGTCATGTTTAAGAAGGAGTTAGACACATCTGTGGGCTTACCCACGAATTGGGTAGGATGGCGAGAACAGAAGAGCAGTGGAGACATCCACTTTTAAAGGCTGGTGACGGGAAGAAGGCTGTGCATCCCCACAGAGAAGGAGTCGTCGGGGGGAAGGAAGTGAAAACGGTGGGACAGCAGAAACCCACAGGGCTTGGAAAGAAAGGATGCGTCCTGACCCAGTACAATAGACTCTGGCAAGATTACTTTATTCCAGCCTTCTGCTCACGCACTTGTTTCTTTTGGTAGGAAATATACTTGTGATGCCATCACCAATCTTTAAATAAACTCTGGCCTCTGATATGAAAAAAATGACTTCATTTTTCTTGACCCCAACTCCTTAGAATCTACCAATGCTTGTCCCTCTCATCAGAGCCTCAGTATTGGCAGTCAGAGGTACTTTGGTGTTCAAATCATAGTTTCTGCTGTGTTTAAAAAGTCAACCAGGTGGTCAGTGGTCTTCTGTACACTGCATGCTCTGTTTGACCTCTCACATTAAATTTTGAGCGGCTGTAGTTTCGCATTCACAAGAGAAATGTATGGATAGGCAAAGAAACAGACCATCAGTCATTTGCGCTTTTTGCAAATGATTGAAAAATAATTCTTGAGGGTATTATGCTTAGTGAAATAAGTAAGACAGAGAAAGACAAATATTGTATGTTTTTACTTATATGTGGAATCTAAAAAATAAAGCAAAGGAACAAATGGAACAAAACAGGAACAGACTCATAGATACAGAGAACAAATTAGTGGTTATCACACTGGGAGGGACAAGATGGGTGAAGGGGATTAAAAGGTCCAAACTGCTAGGTGTAAAATAAATAAGTTACAAGGATGTAATGTACAGCACAGGGGATATAGCCAATATTTTATTATAACTTTATATGGAGTATAATCTATAAAACTATCAAATCACTATGTTGTACTCCTGCAGCTAATGTAATATTTAAGTAAAGTATTCTTTAATAAAAAATAGTAATTCTTGAGACCTACACCCAGCCAGGTTTTGGACCAGGCAGAAAGGACACAGCCATGGACGAGCTGGTTTTAGTCCAGCCCTCATCGAATTATTGTCTCCATTTATCTAGTTTGGAATCCTGGGAGTAACACTGATCTAGTTTGGGTTTTCTCACCAGCAGAGCCCAAAGCAGGATTGTCGTACAAGTAGCTTTCTGCAGAGGTGACCTCAAATTTGCGGTAAAACATTTGAGTCCCTGACACTTGCTTTCCCAGCTTCGGTTGGGCAGGTGATGCTCTCCCTTCTAGTTCCAGCTTTCACACTGTAAATAGTGTCCTTCGTGCTCTCTGGTTAGTGCCATGTCATGGAACTTTGTGCCGTGTCTGAGTGGGTTTGCTGTTTAAAGTGACCCCCAAATGTAGTGCCGACATGCTGTCTAAAGCCTGGTAGGTGAACGGAAAAGTGAGACACAAAAGAGGGTCCCGTAAAGGGTGAGTTATTGAGTACGTTATGTTGAGTCCCTCAAGGGAATACTCTGAGCGTATTTGCGGTACACGCCTGCAGGAGCTCTCTGAGGTGGGAATCAAACCACAGTGTTTGTGCAGCACCTGTGTGGGGAATGGGAGTGAAGGACCTGTGTCCTCCGTTGGGAGCAAAGACATTCTCCTCTGTGCTTCCAGGCTCTTCTGTCTTGTGTAAGAATTAAATTGACCTGAGTCAGATCAACAGGAGAAAAATCAAAATTTACTACCACGTATACATGGGAGAGACCTAGGAAAACTCAGTCGCTCGCCAAAATGGCAGAACCCCTCCGCTTAAATACCGTCTTCTGTCAAGACAGAAGAGCCTGCTGGGGTAGTGGTTTGGGACCTCAGAGGGGAGGAGGGCAGTTCCCATGGAGACGGAGAAGCAAGTGTTTGTAAACAAGTGTTTGCTGGGCCTGCAGAGACAGGGGGACACAGAGAGGGATTGTAACAGGCAAACCTTGCTGGGTTCCTCCCCACCTACACACCCGGTTCACAGTATCGTTATCTAGGGTGACGGCTCCCTTCCTGGGGCAGGTCCTCTGTCTACATTCCTCAGGCAGTTAGGGGAAGGTCACACGTTCTTTTTGAGTCTTTCGGGCCTTGACTGTTCTTGGCTAGAAATAATCCTCATGCCAAAGAGGCAAAGCTTTGGGGGTGGCCAGCTTTCCTCCCCTACGCCATCTAGCAGGAGTGAGTTTAGCGCGTGTCCAGTGGAGTTAGACAGACCTGGCTTCCAGGGCAGCCGTGCCGCTGGCTGGTGTGGGGCACTGGGAAAATTCCTCGCCTTCTGTCAGCCCGATTTTCCTCGTCTGCAGATTGGGGCTGTAAAGGAGAGCTCAGTTAATGCCTTCATACACCGTGGTCGGTTCCTTGCCTGGCACATGGAAGCAATAAAAGTTTTCTTTAATCGTTAGTATCATTACCCATTCCTTCCATTGAAATCTCATTATCATCCCCTTCTCATTAGTGTTTTAAGTATTTCCTCATTCCTTGGAATCTTTCACAAACATTTTTCTCTTCTTCCTACCACTACTCCCATTTACCTTCCTAACTCGTGACTAGTGTACGTTTCCAAAAGGATGATCAGAGCAAACAGAGAGGTGGAAAGATCAAAACAGTGGCCCCGTGTGTAGTGCTATAGTGCTATCCGATGTCCCTAAGCACAAGAAGCCCGTGGTACGCCTTATGGAGAAAATGCATGCGTCCCTTGACTTCGTTCAGG